AATACATCTACAGCTGTACTTAAATCCTTTAACCCTTAAGAGTGACTAGCATCTAATTTCTCCCCACAATATTACTCCTGAATCAAACCTGTAGGTCAGGAGAATAAAGGAAATGATCAGTAACTGAAGAAGTTCTTGATTGCTTAACAAATTCTCCTTGTCAGCCCCTTAGGAATTGTTTAGAGAGCAGTATGGAGAGTGTGCATACTGATGTTCAGGTGTAAAGGGTTAAGATAAGAGCTGAATGGGTTTTGTTCTTTTACTTCTTGCAGTGGACTGTCCATGGCTTGTTGAGGATTGGATTTTTTTACTCAGAGACCTATCCCAGCTGGTGCAGAGCTCATGTTTGATTATAAACTGCAGCATTACGGGTAGGTGGACAATGTACATGCTACTGTCAAAGCTTCATGTCTGTAGGTGACATTAAACTGAAAGATTTTAAAATTTAAGGAACTTTACAGCAGTCACACAGAAAGATGATCCCTTCTGAACTTGGGAGGAGAGGCTTACAAAAAATTCATAGTAAGTTATAATTTTTGTCATTAATCAAGAAAGTTGCTCAGATTTGCCATTGTGAAGCACCAAATTGTTGTGGATTTATTGGAGGAGACAAGCAAACACCTCTGAAGAACACAGTGGAAAGAATAAGTATGCAAAAAGATTTTTAATTACAACCCTGAGAGTGACCAGGATTTACTTTCTCCCTGTGATATCCCCCCTGAGTCACACATTAACCCGTTAACTCCCAGAAGTATTGAACATATAACTTCTTCCTTTAATATTCATACACTATCCAATAAACCAATAATGAGAATACTCAAACTGATCAGTTTAAAGTTTTTATCTTGATCTAACATCAAATTCTTGTAACTAATTTACAAGGAAATGTGTAGCAGCTAGAGGGGAGAATTAACAATCAGATCTTTTAAACAAATTCTCCTTGTCAGCACCTTATGAAATGTATAGAGAACAGTACAGAGAATCTGCATACTGATGCTAGACTGTAGAGGTATAAGGTCACACAATTTAGGTGTAATTAATGCTTTTCTTTTCTTTCTCTATGTAAGCAACCCCACCTATCACAAGCTCACCAAGGAGGAGACGTAAAAAGCAAACAAGTAATTTGTCAAATGAATTTGATGAAATGAATTTTGTATTTTGCCAAAATCAATGGAAAACACGAAAACAATAATAAATCTCGCAAAATAAGCGAGAACAAATTGGAACGTTCATAGAAATTTAAACAAGGATACGAAGAGAGGGTAAAGGCAACCGAGAGAATTTTCAAACACAAAGCTTATTCAAGTACAGGTATCCTGTTGATTTTCTATTCTGTTTTGAATTTTCTATTCTGTTTTGAGTTTTCTATTCTGTTTTGAGTTTTACCAGAAAGGTTATACGTTTTTAAAACACCGTGAGTTACTAGCTGGTGTGGTTGTTTGTAACTCGTGCGAATTCGACTCAACAAGCTAGAGCTTTACTTCAGACCCTTTGAGCTAGAGTCTAACGCGCTAAAACTGGGGCATTTTTTTTGCTTGTTTTTGTTTGTAGGAAGTTTACCGAATACCGAAGAAAACTGCAACTCCAGTAACTATTATTAAAGTGACACTCGAAACAGTGGGCATTTTTCCTCTCCGTTTTTATTTATTTATTTATTTTGTATTTTGTCTTCGTTTTAGCTTTTTTTTAAAGCCGATCGTTAATGCAAAAGCAGAGGGCGAAACTCTCTTGTTGAAAAAAAAGAGAGTCTATTCTTAGTTAGCCAGAGTGTTGGTATCGCATTCCATTTTGCTGCTTTTAACTTTTGCAATTTGGTAGATGGTCTTAAATGTTGTTGTTGTTTGTTTGACATTCAATTGCATGATCGTCTGACTCTCTTTTTTCAGGCCTAGCAAGACCGTGTTGCCTAGTTGTTAGTCGCAGCAAGCCCAGCAGGTAGGTAAATTCTATTTTACATGATCGTGTTTATTGCTTGATTGATCAGTTTTTTGACCATGGAACCCTGATATAGTTACGCATTTTCATCAGAGGGTGAATTGTGTAAAACAAGTGTGTGACAAAGTTTTTTTTCAGATTTTATTTGTTGTTTCACAGGGGCGGGAGAAAGAAAGAACTTAACTTCCCATGAGGATCATCACAATGTGGAAAAACTGATTGTTAAAAAGTGATTAATTTGATGTTGTTTTTCAGGAAGTGGTGACGATGATCATGCAAGGTGAGACAACAAATTGAATAAGTGATTGAAAAAAAGAACAGGTTTGAAGAATTTCTACGTTCAGAAGATGAATTTTTATACCGTCTGGGCTTGGAAATTAAGGGTTACCATTGATAGAGCGTTTTCCGATTGAGTGCCTTGAAACAAAACCAAAGTACTTATTATGGAAAGAAGAAAGGAAAATACCCTGAAGAGCCAATGAGAACTCGGAGTAAAAACAAGCAAACCGCCCAAAGGGCAGGAAAATGCGGGCGACCAAGTCGCGATTGATTTTAGTTTCGCATCTGATTGGTCGAGAGAGTGACGCGAGTTTTTTCGGACCAATCATAGAGCAGAGTGGAGTAAAACCAGCACAAACCCAGATTACTTTGAAAACTCAATTAAAAGTTGCTCTATTAATGGTCTTTGAATCTCTGATCTGATCTATGATTGTATTTCTGTAGGAGTCCGATTGAGAACATCGGTTCTCCAGGAAAATTAGATGCCATCATGAAGAGTTTACAGGACTCCCCCAAGCCCCTCTATCCATCTGAATCCAGAACTCCGCCTCCGTCAAAAACTGGTGACTTCAGTGCTTTGGAATTCGGAGAAGACGTGGATACTCAAGCGGATTCAACTCCTGATAAAGGAGAAGGAACTCATTCAAGTTCACGGGTGTCGGATTCTGATGAAGTTACTCAGAAACAAGATTCGAAATCACAGAACATGATGCAGACATTCGGTTATCAACAGCGCATGAGCGTCGGTGTGGAGCATGGGATGGGCTCTTTCCAACATAAACCCGGCCGCAGCAAAAAGAAAAAGAAAAAACGGAATCAATTGCAGAACTTATTCTAGCAACAGGGAAGAAATTCTCAAGGATTGGTTGATAAAAACGCTGGGAACTTTAACGTGAATCCTCAAACAAACTTAAGACCTCAGCAAGGTACGGCAACCCAGTGGAGAGGTCAGTCGCAAAATCCCCCCTGCGACTTTCTAAATGGGAAACCAATTCTTCTGCAGCAGCGGACCAGCAGTTGGACATGATCAAGGAGCACGGCCACAAAGTGTAGTTTCAAGAAGTTTTGTGGGAAATTTCTCTCAACATCCTCCACCACTACCAAACTTTAATGTACCTCCTCCTAATATGTCACCTATGAAATTTTTTCGCAAAGTTCCACCACCTAATATCCGTCCGCAGACTCATCCAATGATTCCTCAGCAGCTACAGCCAAATCCGCTTATACCGCCCCCTCAGCAAGTACCTCCTCCACCCCTTCAGAGTAGTCAATCGCAGTTCTTTCCACCAAGTCAACCTACCCCCTCTTACACTCGGCTTCCTCCTCTGCCACCTTTTCAAGCCAATGTTACGACTCCACCACTAACACAGTTTTCACACTCTAACCCTAACCCTATTCAACAGCAATTTCCTCAAAGCATCCAGGCTGCTTTTCCACCACAGTAGAATCAGTTTCAGTTTAATACACCCCCTCCAAACCTCAACATCGCGGCCGCTCAACAGGGGAATTAAGCCGGAAATATACCATGGCCTCTATAGCAGGTGACTGATCCAACAGAAAGTGTACCACACTCCGAGTTGGGGTCGCTCTCTGTTCAAACTGGAGCTGTGACGACATCGATGTCAGATGCCTTTGAATGCAGAGAGGGCTTTCCTTCAGATACAGAACCGTGCACGCCATCACCTGTGAAACACAAACCACCGGGGCATCTCCTCCACATTGGAAATCAGCTACCGATAGCCAAGGAAAAGTCTACTTCTATCATGCCCCACCCAGGTAAGGAATCTTACTCGTTTGTTAGAACTGTGGCTTTATTATTGCTCAATGCCCACCGTGAGTCCTTGGCAAATAATGAACTCTTCTGTATCTGGGTTTTCTGTCATACGATAACTGTGACGAGTTAGTTACTTCTAGGTCTTGGAAGTGTTAATCATCTATTGGAGAATGATTCTGTTGTTTTCTTCAGCAAGTAACATCGCTAGAGCCGTTTGATTTTCATGAGAGAGTTAAAAGTGTGTCCCAGGCCCTTGGTCAGTAGCCGTGCACCTGATGTCTTCTTCCATGTATCGTTTTCTTTTATTTTATTTGTCGACCATAATTTTATTCCTGGCGACTATCGCCCAACAGCGTCTACGAAATAAAATTGAAAATGTCTATTGGAAAATTCCCCCAACTCAGTGATCCTCATATTTAACTTTCTTTTCGTACGAAAACCCAGGGGATGTTCCAAGCTGGGACAGCAGCCCCATCATCAGAGGAAGAACACCCTTATGTTGTCCAAGAACCTGATCATACAAGTATTTCTGCTCACAGCTACGTTGATATGGACGAGGTAAGGCAAACCAGCAACTTGATTGTGGCAACTACTTCCTTGTCCACTCAGAATGAAATCTGAAGTCAACTCTTCTTGTTATTCCTCCAGGATTCACCACCAAAACCAAAAATAAAGAAATTAGCAAAGGCTCCTACAACACCTCCGGAGACCCCCCCTGAAAGCCCAACGCTTACCTATACCACAGCTCCAGCAGATACCACTGCGCACAGGAGGGGGGATCACTTGCTGAGAGATGGTACCTCAAGTAGTTCCTCGTCACACCAGAGCAAGAACAGAGAGCTTTTTAGAATGAAGGTCAGTTGAGTCCGTCTCAGTGGTGACGCTACCTTCTCAGAGCCTGTGACGCCAGTGTCACGCCATGGCTTCTTTCTCAATATGTCACGCAATTGTTATTGGTTTCATCATTGTTTCAGCATTGTTTCGGATGTACTGTATATCTGTTTACTAACTGATGTATTTTCGTTTTCGATATTTCTCTCCGCAGCTTTCTAATGTGGTCGTTAACTGCCTAAATCCTTTCTTCAAAGTTGACTGTAAGTCAGGCAGGATCCTGAATACTGACGATTTCAAGTATTTGGCAAGGAAGGTGTGTGTTTCTCTCGCTGAACCTTTTAATTCTTAATTTATTTTGTAGAAATCAAGTCAGCGTTACTTGAGTCGGTAGTATTTACAAAGTGAATTATATCCAATTTTGCAAGTCTGTGGGTGAAACTCTGGTTTATAGCGTCCAAATGAAAAATACTGAAAACTGTTGCTCGCATGGTAATGTTTTACTGTGCTCAACAAGGTGTTCTATCAGTCGCCGCAACAGAGTATTAAGGGGGCTACAGAAAAGGAGGGAGTCATTCGAATACTGCAGAGCCTTAAGGGGGTCAGATCAATTTTATTTCAAGTGTCTTCTTTCTGAAATTAACTATACTGACGAACGTTCTTTTCTTTCGCAGTTAACACACGGAATCCTGAATAAGGAGATGAGCCACTTGAAAGAAGATGACTCACTGCAGTGCAATGACTGTCAAAATCGAAACAAAAGAGTACATTGAGAACTATATGAAAAAGTTTGGACCTGAATATAAGAGATTCTAGTTAGTAAAAGACCTAAGTTTTACTTTGTACATATTATTCTTAGCCGAGGAAACAGTCTTAAAAAGATGTTTCTAATATTATTTAGGGTGTTAGTTTTAGCAAGCTTTGTAAGAGCTCTTTTCAATTGTATGTCGCTGATGCAAGATCAAAGAATTGGCCTTATAATCTTAACGAACGATGAGAACAAGCTAAAATTTCTGAAAGGAGACAGTGGGATCTCAAAGTAAAACAGCCAATCAGAGGAAAGCGCGGAAAAAACGTACGTTGCCAATTCGTGATTGGTGTTTAGCCTTAGATCTGATTGGTGGAGAGGATGGTGCGAGTTTTCCTGGCCAGTCGTAGAGCTTATTTAAGCAAAGGAAAGGTAGTCTAGATTTTATACGTGGGACACTCAATTGGATTTTGCTCTTAACTGTTAGTTTGACATAGATTAGTTCAAGTAAGTCTTAGCTTGTATTTAGGCGTTATTAACATTTCAAATCTCGGAGGATAATTGTAAGTACAAAGTTCTGTCGTTTCTGTTATGTCATTTATTAGGATGTGAAATAATTTATCTTCTTAAATGCATCCATGTAAAATACTTCATTAGTTTTGTTCGGACAGTTTTCCGCCGGTTGCTATCTATGTGCTCTTGTGAATGTATTGCGTTTGTTTTTGATGTCGGTACTGTGCGTTTTTCCTAGAAGGAAAGAGCCAACATTGAAGATAACTAGAGATAGAAACGAATCCGACTCCTCGTCTAGTTTGTAAATTATTTCACACAACTCTACTTTTACTTTTAAAGTTCTGCTGTCACTGTGTTTGTTTGTCACCTTGCTTTTTGACCATTCAAATGAAAGCTACGGAGAAGCCCTTTCATGTGGGACTGTTTATTCTGCTGTCAAAGAGTTGTAGTACAGTCGTTTTAAACCTTGTTTTATTCTCCAACGTGTTTCGTCTAGTTGTCGTGGACTTCTGCAAGGATTTTTACTTGTAAACACTACACGCCGGTATTTATAAGCCATGGTTAGCGGCCATTGCGTGGGTCAAACACTATAAAGGCCTGGCCGGATTTACGAACAGGAACTAGAGAAGTTGTAGAAAAGTTTTAAGGCAAGGTGACAAAAAGATTAAAAACCGTGGCTCCCAAATCTTTTTCTCGCCTTCAGCTTAAAACGTTCTTCACGTAATAACTCTTAACTATATGGCTTATAAATTCGGGCCTTTAATGTTCACCAGTAAAACTCCCTGAAGAAGTCTACAACAGTTAGACGAAACGCTTCTCGTTTTCACGTCCATCGATTTAAGAGCCGTTTTCTCCCACAGAGTTTCCAGTAAAACTATTATCTACCTCAACACTGAATGAGTTATAGGCTTATCCGTAGAAAACAAAGAAAACAAAAGAAGTGGGCTGTTTGAAAAGACCTATTTCAGGTTTTTGCAAATTTTCGAAAATTTGGTAGACAATTCCTGGTTAAACTAACTCATCGGAACTCTTATAAAGAGATACGCTACACGCTGTCTTGTTTCAAATTAATAAACTTAGATGTCTGATAAGCATTTTACAGAAATGCTTCCCTCTGTGTATCGATTCAAGTTGTCCTTCGCAGATGGCGTCCTCTTTTTACAGGCTTGTGGAAGAAAAAAACCAACTGAAGAACATGTAGGGAAAGGTGCCGTGCTCTTCTAAAAGAGATATTTGAAACTGATCGTTTTCTTTAAGAAAACCTCTCAAAGTGTCGAACTTTTGGATGCCTTGGAAAAGATACGAAGAAGCCTCTTCAAGATTACATTGTGACACCTTAAACACCGATAGATAACAAAGAGAGTAAAACTCGAGCAAGTGTTGTCCAATATCCCTACTTAATAGGAGAGCCTGCTTAAAGTACTCTTCGGCTATGTCATTTTTATCAAGCGATGTAAAACACAATCCTAAATCGACATAGATTACTACTACTCCTTCTCTCTCGCCGATTTCCATGTGAATTGTGAGGGCTTTCTCGTAATATTCTTGAGCCTTGTCATATTCACCACGCTGACAAGAAATTTTACCAAGATGTCTGTGGTCTGCCGCTTCTCTCCTTCTATCTCCGATACCCTCTCTAACTGATAGTTGTCAGCCTTTGCATACTTGCCGAGCGAGAGAAACAAACATGTGGGTTTCCATAATTACTTGCCTCTCCTCTTTTATCACCAATTTTTGGATACGCAGTGCTTTCTCCATACACTCTTCAGCTTCGCTATATTGGCCAAGGCATTGGAACAAAGTTCCTATGTTTCTGTAGCATTTTGCTTCTCCATCTCTGTTGCCAATTTCTATTTTAATAGCGAGTGCTTTCTCCTGATATTCTAGGGCCTTGTCATGATGACCGAGTGATTGGAACAAAGTTCCTAGGTTTCCGTAGCTTGTTGCTTCTCCATCCCTGTCACCAATTTCTATTCTGATAGCGAGTGCTTTCTCCAGATATTCTCGGGCCTTGTCATATTGACTATGCGATTGCAACGTTGTTCCGAGGTTTTTGTAACATTGTGCCTGGCCTTTTGTGTTATCTATCGTTTTCGTGATGTTTTGATTGCTGATTCGTAAAATTTCCAGGCCTTCATGAACTTACTTTGTACCTGAAGTATTGCTGCCAGGAATAAATGTAGCCCTCCTTTTCAGCTGTGTCATTACAGTCTTTTCTGTACTTGTGTAATCCTCTATATAAACGTAAGCAAAGGTTATTTTCATGTAGAAGGCACGGAACATAGTGTTTGCCAATGAACCATCGATAGCCAGCACCTGACTGTGTAATTTAATCAAACATTCCTTGAACACCTCGATGGCCTGCAACACTCGACTAGTTTTTCGAAGGAATTCGGCGACCACTATATCTATGAAGATAGCTAATAAAGCTTCTTCTATGCTGTCCATCTTGACTCTGTTTCTTCTCAGTTTGAAAAAAAAAAGAGAAATTAGTGAAAACTTATACACAGATTGTTGGTAGAAAATCTCTTTAGTTGCAAATTGCAATTTTACCTTTCTCTATTCGCCTTGTATTCTTTTTGTATTAACGTGCGGTGCAAGTGATTTCACAATTCGCAAATCAGGTCAAAGAACTCTAACGTTGACATTGGAAAACTGAAGTGGACATTTTTTTGCAAACGTTTATTGCTTGTTTTAACGGAGTTTAGTTGATTGTTTTTGAGCTTTCGTTCGCGCAATTTTTTTAACTCTTTGTTTTGACTTTTAAGAAGTTTCGGAGTTTTATTTTAGCTAAATGTCATGGTTCATTTAACAAGTTTCATACATCTTTTCTACGGAGTTTGGACTCAAGCCTCTTTTTTTCGTAGATGGACTTTTTACATTATCCATCAAAGAGGAACACACCTTTGCCGTCTGTTCTACTGGGGTGTTCGTTACACTGTCACGCGAATCACGCAAATCAGAGACAAACTGGGAAAATAAAACCGGCGATTTCCTTAGTCTATGTCAAGGCAAAATAATGGAAGCGAATCAGTTGTTTTCATAGACAGTACTTACCACAATCTGTAGCCTTCAGTGCCCTGCTTTGAAAATAATTTTAACCATCTCTTTTCGTCCTTTGAGTTTTTCCCAACACACGTCATACGTCAGTCACAACAAGCAGCCAATAAAGTGTGATTGTCTATTTCTGTTCGACTGTCGATTCCGTAATCATTCTCTTTCCCAGGCCCGCTGAACGGCCAAACATAAGCGTCAGTGGAAAAGGTCCTTTAAGTATTATCAAATACCTATTAATTTTGTCCGCTCGTCGTCAGCCGATTTACGTAGGATTTCTATTAAACCAAGCGCAGGGCAATCTTTTTAGTTGTGGAGCGTTATTCCATTGTATGCACCGAGCGCCTTTCCACTGACAACTCACTTGACATGGAAACTGTGAGAAACTACCCAACATGAACATGGAAATATCTCCACCGTCAAATATGGATTAATGGACAACCTATTAGCTTATGCGCCAAGTGAGGAAAACGGATGAACTCGCTCCAAGGACAACTGGAGAAGAAGCAAGGAAGTTAATTAATTTGTTTGTTCTCATGTTAATTGTTTTGCAGTAATTCGTTAGGACCTTCTCTCAGCCTCCGGGTCCTTTTCGAGTGAGCAGTGACAAGCCTGGGGCGAGCTAGAGGAAGCAGGTGAGGGTTCCGAGCCTAAGATCGATGCGTTTGGATGATTCTTTCAGATTTCTGATGGGATTGCTAAGTTTTCATGACAAGGGAATTTATAGGTATTCAATAGTTTTCCATGTAGATATTTGTGTTTTTAACCCTAATGAACCCCGGGAGTGACCAGTTTTTAATTTTTCCTCAATAATAATACTACTGAGTCATTCTTTAAGATAATGAGAATATGGCAAATGATCACCAACTTAACAACCTTTGATTGTTAAACAAATTCTCCTTGTCAGTACCAGAAGAATTATACAAAGAAAAGTATAGAGAACATTGATACTGATGTTAGGGTGTAGAGAGGTTTAAGTTTCAGATAATGCTAAATGATCACATTCCTTCTGGCATTAATAACAAATCAGAAAGCACATCTCGCACACCAGTACTTTCGATAAGTGACCCTTTGTTTTGGCCAAAACCAGCTCTTTCTGTTTTTTTCTTTCCTCAGGGTCCCGAGACTGAAGAAGTTTTCCTCGCTAACAAATTACAGTATGTTTATATTTTCTGTTGTTTCTATATCCGCTGGATGAAAAGACGGTGACATGGTGTACACTCAAATAAATCAAATTTATTAAAAACTGGGTAGGAAATAATACATTTATCCTTTCAGGCCCCCAATATCTCAGTAGTAATTCTTCTTACTGTCTGTTATACAATTCTTATTATTTTAGTTTAGAGTATTTTGTATTTAATCAACTAATAATACCTAATTGAAATTTTTCTTTATTCTCATCACTTGTCTGCTTGATATTGTATTGATATGGTTAGGAGAAATTTTGTCTTGGTCATT